TCTTGTATTTACTTCTTTTGAAACGCCGATAAAATACCCCTCCAAAATCGACAGTACAGATCATTGTTTCACTCGGGAGCAGGAAAAAAAGAGGTAATGGTAATTGTCTCGCAAATCTGTGGCCGTATTTCACAGGTCACGCCATCATTTTTCGGCTACGTATCTCTTTTCACTTCGACCCAGAGTCCATTCTTTCTTTCGACGGTGAAACGAGAGTTAAAGAGCGAGATCGAGTCGAGTAAACTGATTCTTTGGTCGGCACAATGTTATGATACAAATTAACCTTATTTGTTCAACATGTAAACTGCTGTGTTATCATGTCGACAAGTTTCCTGTTTTTATAACGGGGCCGCCCTCAGCCACTTTTCCGTGCAAAACTAACTTAGAAATGATTCCTCTCGTTACAAGGTTTCCATCGCCAGGATTCCTCTGCGGGTGTGTCTTACATCAACTTCAAACCTGAAGAGCTTTCTTACTTAAATATTACAAGAATTGTTTCAGAACTTGTCCAAGATGGTAGCGAGTGTGGATTTGCCTGTTTAGAAATCACTTCGTGTTTTTCGTACAACCTAGCTGCATTTCCTGATAACTGGGGGAAACTGTTGTGTGAACTGCTTCCGTCCGCACAGGGAACCCAATGAACTTATCAGCAATCCCATATTCCATCATTTCAGTGAAACTGTAAGTGCAATCTTGTTCCAGTTTAAGTTATATGTCCTTTCCCCCTTGAGTAAATCAATTGGGGCTGCTGCTGATAGGAAAGTGCGTGATTGGAAGTGTCATTTGACAGCTGTGATTTTGTACGATAACTTCACTCAAGAGAATATAAACTGTAATTCTCTTGCCTCAGTGACACAGACCTCGTTATAGTAATGGCGGTCCCTTTGTTAGAGAGAAAACTTAGCATGTCAATCTTGAATATCTCAATTTTGTTAAAAACGAATTATGATATACAACTGAGCTATAAATGCATATAAAGCGGTTCTTACTTATGATCTATTAGAAGAAAGAGGCACAGACGTCTGCACCAATAACATTATTTGGATTCTTTATATATTTATATTTATATATCACAAGAAACCAGTCACCAGTTCACACTCCGTCGCGCCTTGTGTGCCGATTTTTAATGCTTAACACTTTTGACGTCATCTGTGATCTCTTTTTAAAACAGACGTAGGACAACATGGAATCTATTTGTTGTTTAACAAACAAGATAACAATTCTTATTCTATTTGTTGAAACAGACTCCTTGCTTCAGCGATCCATGCATGAGCAATGCAACTTGTGTGGTAACTTTTAGTTACCAAGAAAACGATTATCACTGCAGTATATGTCCACCATTTTACGACGGCAAAGACTGCAATAAAGGTATCTCCTCCTCCGCGTCTTCCATCTCCATTCTTTTCTTTTCTACTCGTTTCCCATCTTTTCCTTAAGTTTCTTGCTGTTACTCCTTAGTTAGTCTCCAGGCCGTAGTTGTTCGAAGCACGGATGACGATATCCATCTGACTACGCTTTACCAAAAGCAAATACCTTAACAAAATGAATTGATTAAAACCTTCAACGTTCGAAGAAATTTCAATGGTTCCTTGACTCCTAATAAGTTTCACTTCCGATAATACGAACCTTGTTCGAATTCAATTACCCTCGAATATTCGAATTTTTCGAACTCAGCCGTACTCATAAGTCATACTGATAAACCAACTTCTTTTACCCACATAAACTCTGGTATTGTTCCTTTTAATATTCAGGTCCATTTGTTGGACTTCATTTCTCTGGACATTAAGGAACGAGGTTTTTCCCGGGGTAATGGCATGTACTAGTTGGACTCGGATGGAGGAAACCATTCCAGTGCATTTCAGGCCTATTGTGACATGACGTTACACAATGGAGGATGGACCATGTGTTACACTACCAATGAAAATGATGATCTGCTCTACAGGGACTTCCTGGTTTCTGCCCACACAGGGGGTTGTTTCATGACATGCACCAATTGGTGCTCCGATGTTAGCGCGTCATTTTTCTGCATTGCGTTCACTAATTCACATGGCCAATAGGGTGGCATGGCATTTGGTGAAAATGGTCATGATGTCCATGATAAAAGGCGTATCAGTATCGGATTACAATAAGGTTTCTCCTTTCTTGGTCCCATGGTGAACACTAAGGAAGATCTAAATATAACATGCAATTGTTTCAAATATTTTCTGGGCGTTCAATTAGTAAAAGTTTGCTTGTTGGTACTAGTCAATTCCTCTTATTTCTTCTCTCCTTGACACCATTGTAAACGAAATGAACACTTGAGTCAGACCAAGTTATTTATCGTCACTGGTCATAATAATTGGGTTTAGAGACTCGTCGCTGCATGCGTTTCTTTTTTATATTACTTACTTTTGAAGGGTTTTCACTCAATGTTGGCCCTTCATAAGCAGTGCTTATCAGTGTAAGCAATGATTTATAAAAAAAGCATTTTATGATGGAAATGGCGAAAAAATATCTTTAACGATCTTTTTACACACTTTCAGAACGACACTTTTCCAAAGAAGTTTGAGGAAGCTTCAACAAGTATAGAGGAACGGCCGTCGTCACATTTTATAACGTTAACCCTAATTCTTGCCATGCACTGAACAGAAAGCAAAGTTAGAAATTCATTACATTATATATATATATATATATATATACACTTATGGCAACAAGTTAACACTTGTTTATATTTTTGATGATGACCAATAAGCACGGAACCCAAATGCGACCCCATTAGTAAGTTCAACTGATGAAATTTCTCCACCTGGTGAACATTTGGAAAATAAAACTGACGCCCGCTTCGTTTTATATCTTGTCAATTCAAATTAATTTGCCCTTCATAAGCAGTGCTTATCAGTGTAAGCAATGATTTATAAAAAAAACATTTTATGATGGAAATGGCGAAAAAATATCTTTAACGATCTTTTTACACACTTTTAGAACGACACTTTTCCAGAGAAGTTTGAGGAGGCTTCATAGGGTTTTCACTTAATGTTGGCGCGCGCGCCAGCGTAATGTTTCTCTAGAAAATTTTTATGTTTTCGCTTTTCAAGGTCACTAAAAGCCATCAGAAGGCAACGAGTCAGGTTCGGACTATCGTTTACCGTAGTAAATGTTATCAAAATGATTTTCGTTTTTAAGCTAAGACTCCACGAAGGGAGGCGCTCGCCAGCTATAATTTGGCTTTTCCTTTGATTTTCTTCAATTTGCTTCGGTGAGATCTCTCAAAATTTTCACAGTTTTGTGAAGATTGTCTTGCTGGTCATTTATAAGCCGAAAAAACAGGGGTCACAAAAGCAGTTTTCTCCCTATTTTCAATTTTGTGTTTTTTTCCTCTATCTCAAATTTGGTCCTATGATTTTTCTTCTCAACAGGCACTAGGAAGGCCACTAACATGTTTAACACTTCAGCAAATCTTAGGAAATTCCACCGACAGAAACCGGTCAATCTTATTCGAAAGATCCCTATTTTCTTTGTCTAAATTAATACGTGATGGTATAGAACTTCGCTAAGATCACTATCTGAGCATGCGTAGACTTTTTAATCTGTCACCTTCTGGCAATCTTTCCTACTGTGTTTTCTTTTCCGTTGACCTCTTTTCAGGCGTAGAAGGCCTAAGAATATTACGGGTGCTTTTGCAGGAGACCTTAGATTTCATTGCATAAAGACTTTATTGTATTATACTGTTTTTTATACACCTTTTCAGATAAAAATTGTGCTATCATATCGAGCCACCATGTTTCAGTTTTGCATGTCGACACTTTTAAGGCTCGTGCTATGTTTGCACCCAGATCTCGCGCGGTCAAAAAAATTTATGGAGCCTCCTTGGGACGTGTACAGCTCATTGTCAATATAAATCATGACCATGGTTGCACGCTGCACGCTTACCGTTTCTTATATAACATTGAGAGTTTCAACATCTTTCGTTTTGTGTAGGAAAAAAAAGGAAAACAAACTGACGTCAGCATGTAGCCCACAGGCAAATCGATCAAGCGTATTAACCAATCAGAGCGCGCACTTTTATAAGGCTATGTCATCAGTCAATATCGTTCATCGCACCAAATGGTAGTCTAAAAAAAACACTGAGCGAAGTCAGCAGCCCGTACATCAAAATTAGTATAAATACAAGAAACATTAAAGAATGTAGCACAGGCAAACGCCTACAACAGAGAACCATTTCCAAGTAAACACCGCCTTACAATGTTGGAGGGTTTGTGAAACAGGCCGCCATTAGTCACAGAAGAGATCAACTGATAATGTTCATGCAATTTGACTTTATATTTTTGGCAAACATTTAAGTTAATTTTGGAATTCTGTTAACTAGTTTGGTGTTAGCCTCATCAGATGATGATGCAATTATTCTTTAAAAGTTATATGGCAGTCATATTTCTTATGACCGCAATAGATGAAAAGTGCATTCATTGTAAAGGATCCTGTTTATACCAGCTGAGGGATGGATCATTGTGCCATTTGACATTCAAATCTGGTGAAAACATCAGCTACATCTATCGTTTTTGTTAAATGTATTCCTTCTCTAATTCTCTATATCTAGAGGTTACCCTGATGTAAAGGTATTTCAGTGTATTGACCGTAAAGTAAATACATGCATTTACGATCAAGAAAGGACAAAACGCGAACAAAGAACTTTTTCTCTTTTAGACCATTAATTTGAAACTTTCAGCATGGCTTTTTCTTTATGAGAGATGTTATCATGTGATACAAGCTCGATTTGCCTAGACATGTGTCAATCATTTCTTGTTCAAGCTGCGTGCAGCTTCTAATTGATGAGACGAAAAGATCGGTGGTGAATTTAATGGGCATCAATAATGGATCGCCGTTTCTTTTTCTCTAGAAACATCTTACGATGAAGAAGGGAAGTTTGGAAACTTTTAGCTAAGAAAAACGGAAAAAATCGCTGATGAAGTGTCATTATTTGTTAAATTTATTCTTTTATTGAGTTTACATAAACGTTCGCTAAACATTATTTTCATGTCACATGCTCTAAGTTTGAATATTTTTGTCAAACGGAAGAAATCCTCCAGATCATCACAAGCGAAAGAGAAAAAAGAAACATGTCAAACAAAAATATCTATAATAAACAGCCTAGTTTTCATTTACTATACCTTTAAAAGGGTCCGAGGGAGTGCATGTAGGCTTTTTTTGTATATATATTTTATAGGTCATGGAATGTTCTTCCTTCACTGCCAAATTGCTTCAGCGCTATCGAGTGATATTTATATGTGAATAAGGTTTGAACTGCCTGGTATCAATGTACTCTAACACGTTTCCAGTTGGATGTAGGTGAGTTTTCAATTGTTCTGAGAGGAAAGACGAAATATGATTAGAGTGTCATGTCGTAGACCACAACTGGTTCTCCTTTCCCAAACTCGTTGGCTTTGCAGCTTTGCTAAGTAGCCGGTGAACAACAGTGTACAGCGGTGTTCAGTATCTTTATACCTGTTTGAACTAGAAAACAGTTTAGGGGTAGGTTCCGTTTTAGCTTTTTTGGTCCCGCCGATTGTAGGAGAGTCTGTGACCCTATGGTGGCAGCAAATATTCCTTCACACAACATCAAAATGATCATTTAGGAAGATGTTGTCACCCAACGTATAGAGCCACTCTTTGTAGACCAGGAGAATAACAACTGTCACCTTGATACAGAGATCCTCTCTTGATCATGTGGCAATTCAGTAGTCAGAATATAACTTGTATTTAAGTCCAGCCGTTTTTTTCTTTCCACAGAGTTTTACATTGTTTTTCTTTACACAAAGGTTCAATTTAGCTCACAACAACAGTTTAACTGTCGAACTGTGTCCTTTACTGCCTGTTTCACCTCCCTGATTTTCCAGCAGTAAAGAATAGGGTTTAGAGATGAGTTTAAGAATAGTAAACAAAGGAAAAAGTAAATTATATTCTTGCTAAAAAACTTTTCAAAATGTGATGAAATTAAAGCAATACAAATAGGAGAGTAACAAGCAAATAATCCAAGCTGTACCCATGCTATGATGGAAACCGTTTTCTTGTATCGCGCTAAATTCAATGCAGACGGTACAACGCCATTGGGAGGAAGATGTTGTCGTTGGTGAACATGGCCTTGTACATGAAGCAGTAGATGACGGAGACGGAAATAGATCTTAGCGTAAGAGATGGCCGAGATAAGAAGAGAAATAAGCATCACAACAGCATATACAAAAAAGTAAATTTCTAAAATGAAGAGACACCCAACCGAAGCACCAATTAGAAACCAAAAGGAGATAATAAGCGCTCGCACCCGCCTTAATGTAACAACGTATCTATACCTCAGACCCAACGACAACGCAAGAAGTCTGTCCACACTTATCGCAGTTGATGTCAAGAGGGAGACACCACAAAGAACTATAGATGAGATCATCTGTATGTCTTTAACATATTCATAAACGTTGCTGCTGGCAAGAAGCATCACTGTAAACAGCGGTTGTGTTACCAGTCCAACACAAAGATCGGTGACCGCCAGACATCGAAACAAAAGTTTCGTTGGAGGACAAATCGAAGTCACTTTGTTAAGAGCAAGTAGGATGAGAATATTGCCAAGTGTCGCGGTGATGGAGGAAAAAGTGTTCAAGGATGCAAATGCTGCAGACATCCCCACAAGTGACGCCGGATACCTGACTTCAAATGAGGAGTTTGTATGTTCATCAGTGGTGTTCAGCATTTTTCTCAAAGCCGGCAACAGAGAGTTTGTTCTCAGAAAGGCAAATGTTTGCTACTGTAAACTGTTCCTGTTTGACTGATTTTGATGGTGTACTGTGATCGTTCGGGTGAGAGTAGTTCTGAGAAGGACTGTTGTTGGTAATAGTGGCTCACTGATGTTTCAAGAACTGCACAAGCGGAAAGTGAAGAGTCTTCGTCAGTCGACTTCTACAAAACTAATTCTGTGTAAACTGATTGGTCAGATTCCTCTTGTGTTATTAGCTGTGAGACGTGTTGATCGGTTCCTTTGTTGTGTAAATATGTCGTGAGTAGGTCGATTTGTATGGCGCAGGTAGGTGACGTTATGGGCTTATGGACTAAGCACAATTATATACGACCATACAAATGGTCAGGTGATACAGGCAGTCATATTCCTTATGTCCAAAATAAATAGCTATGGAGCATTCATTTTAAAAGATCCTGTATCTACCAGCTGAGGGATAAAATATTTTGCAATTTGATCGGTTCCTTTGTTGTGTAAATATGTCGTGAGTAGGTCAATTTGTAAGACGCAGGTAGGTGACCTGATTTGCTAAGCACAATTACAAACGACCATACAAATTATCTTATCACTTTCAAGCGACACGGGCAGTCACATTTCTTATGTCCGAAATAAATGGATATAGTGCATTCATTTTAAAAGATCCTGTTTCTAATGATGATGAAATATTCAATTTGACTTTTCAGTAAAAACTTTGTGATACCTCTTCAGTCCAAAATATATCTTATGTCCAAAATAAATGGCCATAGAGCATTCATTTTAAAAGATCCTGTTTCTACCAGCTGAGGAATGAAGTATTTTGCAATTTAATTGGTTCCTTTGTTGTGTAAATATGTCGTGGGTAAATATGTTCCAATTTGACTTTCAAATACAGTAAAAACACCCGTTATATTTATCAGTTTTGTTAAATTTGTTCCTATTCTAATTTTCTTCAGAATCTCTCAAATTCTCTCCTACAATCCTAGTAACATCTTGAAATGATCAAGGCAAGTTATTAATGCTTCAGCAAGAAATGGTTGAATTAAAGTTTGAGGCTGTGGTTTACTGCCACTCTGTAGTGACGGAAAATATTCCTTTAACATCAAAATGATCAATTGGGAGGATGTTGTCGCCCAACTGTAAGCCATTCTTTGTAGACTAGTGGAATAACAACCGCCACCTTGATAGAGAGATTCTTTCTCGTGGCGTTTCAATGGCCTGAATATAAAACTTGTACACTAAAAAGTCATGAGTTCAGCTGTCCATCCCACAGAGTTTTGCATTTTTTTGTACAACACCTGGGTTTAGTGTGGCTCACAACGGCAGTTTACTGTCTAATTGTGTCCTTTACAGCTTGTTTCGCCTCCCTGATTTTCCAGCAGTAAAGAAAGGGGTTGAGAGATTAGTTTAAGTAAATTGACGTCATGAAAACTTGGATTTGTGAAAAAGAATCCAGTATGATAGTAAGATAGAAGACAAATATTCCGAGCTGTACTCATGCAATGGCGGAAACTGTGTTATTGTAACGTGCTATATTCAATTCAGTTGGCACGACGCCTCTACGAGCCGAATGTTCTTGGAAAATATTGCCTCGTAAAAGCCGCATTTAGTGGCGGAGACGAACTTTGACCTTGCTGTAAGAATAGGCCGAAACGAACAGAAGAACTATGAATAAACAAAACAGCTGAAATAGGGCTAAAAAGGGTGATAATGATAGAGTGAAAAATAGTTAGAAAGACCGATTAATGCCAGAAGCATGTTATGACTACTCGGATCCGCCTTGATGTAACAACCTGTCTGTATCTCAGACCCAACAACAGCGCAAGAAGTCTGTCCACACTTATTGCAGTTGATGTAATTGAGGGCTCCACATGAAGCAATAGTTGAAAGCAAAAATTTTTTAAGAGGAATATTCCGTAATTTCCGTCCATTTACCCGCGCGGCAGATTACCCGCATCGGTCAATTTTTGTAATAACGAGAAGAAAATTTCAACAGATTACCCGCACTGGCAGATAACCCGCACCCAAAAACAAAAGAAAATCGTCGACTCATACAAATTTTCCTAATTCTTTTTTTGTTGACATGATATCCTTTTACGTGCAATTAATAAATTTTCACACTTTTTGTCTTCGCTGTTTCATTGAGAATGATACCACTTATAAAAATATGTTCTCAAAAAAAAATCGATATCTCGAAATCTACGAGTCGAAGAAATCGCTTGAAAGGGGAAAATACTCTTTAACTCAAGGCAGTGCTAGCTAAGAAAATTACACTGATGCGTCGAAAATTCTGTCGCGCCATCAATTAAGCAGCCCACGAATTGAACGTGTCATAATATGTCAGCATCATTTTCCGTGTGAACTGCTTTGAAGCCAACTTTTTCACTATTAAATTCTTTTATTTTCATGTTCACTTCCCGTGTAAGTGAGAATTGTTTTTTGAAATTGAAAGGCTGGAAAGTAAGAGTACAAACAGGATAAAAGCTTTGTTATCGAGTTTTGTATGTTTTCGATTTGCATTGGCTTTCATCGAGAGCATTAAAGTCTCTTATTATAACGAACAATCTGCTGAAATAAATGAATTAATTCACAGGTTTTTTGAAGAGTATCTTTGGTGGATCTTATCATCTCTGTTTTTTTCCTGCTTATAGTTTTAAAACTATACCGGAAGCTTTAAAAATTATCGTATTACTCGCACCTTCCTAGAACCCGCACCAACAACTGTTTGTGGAATAATTAACAGATTACCCGCAGGTAATTGGCCGGAAATAACGGTAATAACGGATTATCTCGCCTAGGTGCTCTATTCCTTCGCCAATGAGCTTCAATGAGCTTCACTGTAAACAGACGCTAGCATGTCTTCTGTTTACCACCTTTTTGTGTTTCGGTTTCACCTTGAAGCCACTTTTCCGGGCACAGCCGCCTAGTAAGGGCCTGTTTACATGGAGGTGGGGGATGGTCGAAGAATAAAATGCGTTTACATGCAATCTTACAACCCCGGGGTGCTGGAGTGAGGTTTCTTGAGGTTGTTGTTGCGCTTGCAGTTATGGAGTTTGAGCAGAGGCGTCCCAAGCTTACATCTCGAAAAAGACGAAAGATTAATTCTCGGACACATATGTATTTATTCATGAAAGCGTCACGCGTTGTGTTACGCGGTGTTTGGTTTCGCGAGGAACCGTTGACTTAATGCGTTATACGGAATAGTTTGGGAAACCAAATATGGTCGATTTACAACGCTAAATATTCCGTAGTGTGAACACTTTACACTCGTTGTGCGTCCGTTGCGGTTTCTGGTGATTTCTGCCATGAGACGGCTAGGAAATGTAGAAAGTTTTAAAACATACATGTTTCGCTTTTGAACTTTTTGCCATGAACACACCCCGACTAGGCAGGTTACCCCACCTTGACACGTTTACATGGCAAATTGTCACCCCGGCTGACAGGGTTGGTCTACGAAATGTTCAGAGAGTAAGGCATGTAGCATAATACTTATCCACTATATGAATTTAAGTATGTTCAGAAATGGCTTCTCCACGTACGTTCATCGGCTTAGCAAAGCAATAAACAGTGAAACCGAGGTAAACAGTTGACGTTTTCTGTTGGCATCAAGCCTCTGTCTAAAGGGGAAAACTGAGATGACAGGTTATAAAAAAATGGCTAATCATGTTTTAACAATGTTGTAATCAGTTTGTTTTCAGTTTTTTTTCTAAAGCAACATCGCAGTCCCTTATGAACAGTCTTGATTTGAACTTTCCGTGCGTGCAGTAAATCGAAAACGAGTTCGTAAACATCCATTTGTAATATGAATGATTCGTTCAATTCAACTGATAATCACGCAGTTACATTTGTAGGACGAAATTGCCAACCCGCGTAACGAAAGGTTATTCAGTTCCTGTCTTAAATCATTCTCTGATTGGCTGCCGCGTTCAGTGTCGTTGTCAGGTGCAGATATTTAAGTCAATATGTAATTGGTTTCCTAAGGTGAGAAAAGCTGCTATTGTTTACGTAGTAAGGACTGTGACTGTTATGTGGCTTCATAAATATAATCAGAGATGCATTTCGAACTCGTCCTAAAACAATGGAAACAAAAGATGTGTTGTAAATAAAATCTTTTAACCACTAAGACGTTCAAGCGCAATCACACGTTTTCTTTCATTTTTTATCTTTCACTTTTTTCTAGACGTGATGTACGCTTGTATCCATGGCAGGAAGCCAGCGCTTTTCATCGAAATTTGATAACAGTTTTTTAATTCTAGTTAATAATATGGTTCAGAATGGGTTACCTCCAACTGATTCCTCGATAGAATTCCACCTTTCGTGAACGCAAGTCTATTTAAAATATTATTTCGCGAACACAGGCCAAGTCATTTAATGAATTATTTAGATGGACCCACAGGTGTTGCTTCTTTGAAAAAGTATCCTACACTTCACACGACAGATTTAAAAATTGAAGACGCTGAAGGTGTTGTTATCTGCACTTTAGTCATGATGCTCCGGATTGCAACGTCGCTGAATCCACGACCTCAACAAATCGGTCTAGCTGTAGTGATTAGAATTTCTCTTTGCCAAAACTAAAGGTAAATTGCCTTACTTATTTACTATTTCTTAGTTCTTCCTCCCCAAAAGAAAAAAGAACTTAGTATTCAATCATGACTATGTTATGCAGGACATTAACCGAATTTTGCGTGGATCTTTTCTGGCTAGGCATCAATATAAGTTGTCTCGTGCAGCGATATCTAACGCTGACTTTTACCATTTAATAAAGGGAAGGATATCCTATATTTACTTCTTTTGAAACGCTGATAAAATACCCCTCCAAAATCGACAGTACAGATCATTGTTTCACTCGGGAACAGGAAAAAAAGAGGTAATGGTTATTGTCTCGCAAATTTGTGGCCAAATTTCACAGGTCACGCCATCATTTTTCGGCTACGTATCTCTTTTCACTTCGACCCAGAGTCAATTCTTTCTTTCGCCGGTGAAACGAGAGTTAAAGAGCGAGATCGAGTCGAGTAAACTGATTCTTTGGTCGGCACGGAACCGGAGGCTGACAATGTTATGATACAAATTAACCTTATTTGTTCAACATGTAAACTGCTGTGTTATCATGTCGACAAGTTTCCTGTTTTTATAATAACGGGGCCGC